GAAATGGGCGTGGTTACATTCAGATTCGCCCATTTTTAATACCAACTTACCTTGGATAAAGGGCAACCTACATACCAAATTTCGTTGAGATATCTCGAGTTATCTTGTACACGGACAGACGTGTATATATATTTTTTTGATTTTTTTGGACTTAGCACATTTGCGTACCAATGCATAACAACAAGTAAAAACGACATTACGGTAATTTTCTTTTTTGGTAATGATGTATTTTCAGTTATGCTATCTTTCTGCATCAAAATCTCAATTTACATAAAAAGTGGACTTAGCACGTTTGCGAACTAAGCCAACGATATATTGTTTTAGATAATTTTAAGTTATTATATTTTCAAATATATGGTAAATATTAGCAAAAAATATGCCAGCTTACGTTTTATCATTTTCAATATGTAGATAATTTTTAAACAAAGTGCATCGCTCAATCACTCACTACACGCATACATGTACATACATATATGTATGTATTACCCTCTTTATTTCCCAATGGTGTCGACAGCCACTCTCCACCACCAAAAAAAGAAACGAGCTGCTATAATTAACATCCACCACCAACACCAATAAATTGAGTTTCAACAAATGTTAATTGAAAACTGTTAAATGTTTGTTGTTTTTCCACTTTCGATTTCCCAAGAAAAAGTTTTACTTCAATACCTACATACTACTACTCGCATAAACAAAACATTGAATGTTCGAAATGTTTGTTCAGCAGCAATGAGAGTATATCACCCAAAGCATGTAAACTTTTGCGAAAACTTTTGTAAGTTCCAACCGCAAAGCAACTCTGCGTCTTGCAATGCACCAAATACTTACTCGAAAGCAGCATAAGTAAATGAAGAAGTCAGTTCGGTTGAAAGGCTCTTAATTGAATCAAAGGGAAATTGGTCAAGTCTGGATTAAGAGTTAACTTTTTACGAATGTTTTTTCGTTTTCTGGTGCCTGCGAGTGTGTATTTACTCGTGAGTTTAAGTATTTATTTGTATGTTTGCGGTAATTTTGTTAACGAAAATTGGTCAATAGCATCACTTTTTGAGTTGGGGTAAACTTTACGCTGCAGGCGTAAAGCACTTTTTCTCCCCTTTTCGGCATCACAGTATAAGCTTCATAAATAAAACACGAAGGGAATTAGTTGATAAAGAAGTTGCGATCAAGTAAGTTTTAAAGCATTTAGATATTTAAGAAGATATTAGTTTTGGACGCATGCGTCATATTTATATTTAAATACAGCTCTGAAGTTAGGTTTTAAGTTGTTTAACTTCTGGGGAGCGGATATGCATACATATGCAAAGCCAACTTCACAGCACATATTTTTGCAAAAGTTGTTCTATTTTGAAAAAAAAAAAGATCTCAAAATAAATTAAAACTAAAGTTAAAAGAAATCAAAACTGGAGAATGTGCCATGCACTAATATTTACCTATTCGATTTTGTTGTCCTATTTAGTGAAGTATCTAATCGTTGTAAAAGTATTTGAGAGGACGAAAACTTTAATCTCTCCGATAGCAAGAAAATCGTTATCAATTAATGAATATAATGTTTTCCATCTGTCACACAAACCTGGGAATTCGATACTCTAACTTGAAAATGGGCGCTGGAAATAGCTTTGTGATAATCCGTTTCATGGCAAAAGTATACTCAAAGATTTGTCTTTGCCTGCTGAGCGTTTACACTAGAAAAAACTACCTTACAAGCAAATCAAAAAAGGGGTTCGCCATACACCTCTGAGCCTGAAGCATTTTTGCGCCTTTCGTTGCTGGTTGGTTAGTTGCAGTACTTCCTAGTCGCTGTCTAGGGCACAATTAGCCATTTTGGACCCATTTTGATTAAATTTCTCGCGGGGTATATTTTGTCTATGCACATTCTATGAATATACCGATTTCGCTAATGGTAACTCCTGATGGGCCGGTTAGTTGTGTTACCAGGTGTTTGCCTATTATTTTATGTCTAGTATTCGAAAGGCCTGGACATTCACAAAGGAAATGCTGAACACTTTACTTCAAATTGGTAGCTGCGGCAAATCCTATTATAGGGTAGTCCTGTTTTTGCCGCATGTTCGCCTATGGGTCAGTGCCCCGTAATGGTTGCTATCATTCTCAACAGGCCAGTCAGGCCATAGTTTTCTCGATAACTTACGAGCCGGTATATCTGACCATCTGCATCTAGCCAGTTCAAGGAAATACGAGGTAATCTCTCTCTGAACTATTGCAAAGGGACAACCCAGTTTCACCGCTTCGGCTTCACCCAAACCAGCACCTGCTGCTCGGAACTTGCTTTACTCTTGCCTCCGACTCTATTGCTGAGGATTTTACAGGCTTCTAGTATGCTTAGAACTTTCGTTTGGGAGATGCTTGTATCCTTTCCCAACCATAGAGACAGAGCCACAACGAGTTTCGCGGAGTAGACTCTCGCTTCCACATCGCAATCCATCTTGGATGTGTCCGTATGTAGAGAGATAGCCTCTCGGTGGGTCATTCGGTCTCTTCTCCAGGCTCTTCTATATGGGAATAACACTTGCACGTTACAGCTGATGTCCGAAGTGTCTAGTCCCGCAAAGTCTGACCGCCAATTTCATAGCCACTTCTTTCAGGTGAACACCAATATGGATTAGAATGAGGATAGCATTTAGCGCTTCTGTCGGGCAGAATCTTAGTGCGCCTGATACTCCTGCGCTTGCTGCCTTTTGTATGCTTCTTAGTTTGCTGACATTATAGTTTTGCTGAGTCCGGGACACCAGACCAGAGCGCCTGATATTAGGATTGGTTGGTGTCTGCTAAAGATTCTCTTGCAAATATAGTATGCCATCTAAGCCTCCTGCCTACGAAATTCTACATTGATTTACCAATCAAGTTTGCTATCCAGCACGACACCAAGATACTTTTCGCTTGAGGATAATGAGACTAACTTGCCGTCTAGCGAAGGCAGTTTGAATTGTGGTATTTTGTTGCTGTTTGTAAATAGGATAAGATCTGTCTTGGCTGGGTTCACATTTAGGCCGCTTATCGCCATTCGTAGTGCGCTTTGGGCTTCAAAATGTATAAATAAGGAGTGCCGAATGTATACGTAAGTACCTTTAATCAGCTACCAAAATTTTATTTCAACTCAATTATAAATCTAAAGTGAGCGCCAAGATTGCCATACTTTGTTCAGGGATCCTTTTGCCAGCAGTAAGTATAGCGTCTTCTTTCAAACACAAATTTTTCTTTAAATTTTCTTATCAACCAGCCGGTATTAAATTTGTATATTAACCGTAATGCAAACATGATACTATTTATACGTAAGTATAAAGCAAATTTAAAATAGCGTTTCAAAAGCAAATTACACACCAGGGGTGGAATTTAAAAATTTCAAAATATGCCTAATGGTCTTCAAAAATAGTGCCGAAAAGAAGATGAAAGTGCCACAAAATTACATTTATTTTAAGGCGTTCTAAGAGCAATATATATATATTTAGAAATAATATTTTTAAAATACACTGAAGTAATATCTCTATACATATTAATACGCAAACGAAATCCCATACAAATATATTCCTCCCTACTGCTCCTTTGTTTCTCAACCGATTTGAACGATTCTCCTTTTGTCCGAAATGTGTTTCAAACGGTTTTCCGGTAGGTGTCGTAGGAGTCGAGTTATTATTAATATCAAGAGAAATACATCTGCAAAAAATGGACCCCATAGGTGGCTCTGTATAAGCCTATGAATGCCTGCTATAGTTTCAAAAACTATGAATTTTAAAATTATTTAACAAAATGTATATCCACCAAACAATATAAGTGATCTAGACGATCAAAAGGTGCTGATGGACCTAAAAAACTTTCCAGGCAAAATGAAAAAGTGTGTGAAAAAAGTGAAGCGGTCGAATTTCCACAACGGGGCGATACTAGTAATAATTATTAATTAACTAAATCATTACAGTAAATCACTTTATGAAGGATTTCTTAGACTATACATAAATTCATAGCAAAATTACACAGAATTCCAATTGCGGTGAGAAAATACACCGAAATATAGCTATTTTGACATTTTTACACACATATCTATGTACGTATCTATATGTGAAATAATGGCAGTGAGACCAGTTTCGCCTAATCTTTTCATTGATTATATTTTGCTTGTTTTTACATAAAAGTCTGGCTTATATTTTAATAAACACAATTTATGTGCACAATTCGGCGTTTTCAAACTTTGTACAAAAATTTTAAAAATTCAGCTGGTTGTCGCAACAACAAGCTTTGAATGCAGAATTTTTAGGGAGATTCAAAGTTTTAGATTTTATGCATTTCTTCCCATATAAAGCGCGTTGGAAAATTTTTTAAATGGATGAAAATGTATGACACCGTCAGAAAAAAATCAAAAATGGTCGGGATATTGCAGAAACTTTCACTTTTATTTAATGGACTATAAAACTGCAACTAGAATTTTTCTAAAAATTCTGAATTAAAAGCTTGATGTTGCGAAAACTTACTTTTCGTGCTGCGTATTCACAATAGAATTCAACGATTTGTAAATATTTCTCACGACCCTTATTTTAATTTTTTAGAGCTTTTCATTTTAAATTTTTTTTTTTTTTTTAATCTATAATGTGGAACGTGATTTTTTGTTGTATATTGGCATTTTATGCTAAATTTCTATATTTTATGATTGTGCCAAAACAGGATGAATTGTGCAAAAAGTGGTTCTGAGAACGAAAGGGCCAAAAATGGCAATATTGTGCCTACTTTTCCATCACTGTTACACACCCCAGTAAATAAAATATACAAAATAAAAATATAAAAAAAATTCTTAAGCCCCTAGACGCACCTATAAATTAACAACCTGCGCATTGGCATATTCTTTAAATTCAACAGCCTTATGCCACTCTCCGCAGGCTGCACACAAATTTCATTTCATTGGGAAAAATTCTTATAACCAGTGACTACCGGTAGACGAGCGTAGATGTAGACAAAAACAAAATTGGAAATAACAAGCTAAATAAGTATCCACTCACCGTTTGTGCTCTCGCTACTACTGATGGGCGACAGCTCTGCGTTAACGCTGCTATGCTGCGTATCTTTTGTAACACGATGCAGCGCGTGCAGGGCAAGTGGAGAGGCCGCCAACGATAATAATAGGCTGATATCCGCAGGCTGAGCACTAACATCATTAACATTTTCATTACTCAGCTTGGCACTGGCAATGGCTGCAACAGCAGTTACGCTGAAATGGGCAGCGGCTTCGTTAGCTGCTGACGACGATGTGGCTGTTGCGATGGGTTGTTGCGTATACGCCACGTTGCCATTGGCAGTGCTGCTGGCCGCACTTTTGTGTTGATAATCTTTTGTAATTATTGGCATAGGCGGCGAGTGCACGTCATGCGTGCCTAATGATGACGACATTGACGAGGATGCTTGTTGTGATGTGGATATTGCTGGCAATGCACCATGTGCGCAAGCTGCTAATTCTGACGAAGGTCCTATGCCTACCACAACCACTGGCATTGAGGACATTGCTGCTGTTTGTGTGTAGCGTTGCGTTATATGCAAAGTTGGTTTGTGATATTGTTGGCGGCTTTGTTGTTGTTGGTGTTGCAGGTGTATATCAAGTTGTTGTTGTTGTTGTTGTTTACTATCTTGTTGCACTCGTTCCGCATTCATGCCCTTAGTTTCACACTGCTGCATGCCACTAAATGGCCAACCCATTATGCTGAACACCAACAATATTTGTAAAGTCTCAGATAGGAGCGTGTCTAGGACATTCGCGTTGCGTCGCAATGTAAAACGCATTTTTTGGGCTTATTAGCGTACATTTAAGAGGTGGTGATGACATAGAATTTTATTAAGGTTTCTCTAATGGCAAGCATTTTTTTTGTTGCTCTTCTATTTGTGTGGGGCTATTAGGTAGAATTTTTGGGTGTATGGGTTTTTTGTCTCCTATTGCGCACGCTGGTAAATAACTTCATTATTTCGCGCTTACATTTTTAAAAGTATGCTGTTAATCTGCAAAGTATAAAAATATTATTGTCATTAAGCTATATACATATTTATGTAAAGGTATTTAGGAATATCTTTCAATCTTCGAAGTCTAAGCTAAGTTTTTGCAGTGCAGAAAAAGCTCACATTTAGACATTTACTTAACTTTTTGTGCTGAAAATTTTTAATTAACAGCCAACTGAGAATCAGCCCTCCACTGTCTCTCGGAAAAGAGTTTAGAGCGTATCAGGCGTGGCAAGATTTCCAACTTTTGCACGCAATTCACTGTCAAATTGAGAAAGAGAAAAATTTTTCCCTACGTGAACAGCCAGAAAGACTTTTCTGTCACTTTTCGGAAATCAGTTTCAGCAATTAAAGTTACAAGTTTTTAAATGATTTTCAAATTTATTATAATATTAAATAAAAACAAGAACAATAAAAAAACAACCGGCAAAGCGGCTCAAGGTTGCATTTTAGTACTGAGCAGGATTGCGAGAAATTCATTCGCTGTGTGAACAGCCAACAGGCGTTTTCAGAAATTTTGACTGCTGATCTAACTGCTTTCTAAAATTTTTCAATTTTACAGCCTTTTTGAAATATATTGAATTGCCAAGGCTGGCAGGCTCTTTACTAAGTCAACTCTTTAGTAGTTTATTTCAGATTAATTCAAGGTACCACAACTGTTATGCTTTTTTACTTCGTTCAACCCTCCTAAAAATATTTTCGAAATAAAGAGTTTTTAAGTCCTTTCGTTTGACGACCACATTGTTGCGATTTTTTATTTAAATTATTACTAAATAGATTTTAAGTTATTTAACAGGTTACAAACCCTCTAAAAGTACTTTTGAAATAAATCGTTTTTGAGCCACTGTAGTTTGACATCTGTATTGTTGAAATTATTTATTTAGTTTAGTAATTTATTAATTTCAAGCTTTGAAAAAGGTGGCAGGTGTCTTCAAAAAATATCCTAAATATATGTTAATACGGACATTTAATTAAATTACCATAATTTTGAACACTTTTGCGCGTGTTTCTTTTTCTGAATGTTCGTGTAAACTACCACCCTCAAAATGCGAATGATCATACGCCGAGGAAAAAAATGTTTTCAGGAAAACCTAGTTTAGTGACGGAAGAAAATATGTACATTTACCATGATAACTTGAGGAAAATATTTTCATAGTAGCCGTAAAAGTACACAATTTTATAATTCGCTAAGGAAAGCAGCGAGGCGTCCTCATGTTTATGTACATTTAAAAAATAAAATATTACTACACAATGGCTTCAATTTCACAATAATCCTACGCCCAGTTGATCGTTTAATAATGCCATATTGTGGTTAAACATTTGCTAATAGTGGTGGAAAATATTAAAATTTATGCGAAGTGTGTAAAAAATATAAGCGATTCGACTACGTATCAATGTTGTAAAATCTAAATTTATACATAAATATGTAAATCAGGAACAAATAAACATAGACAGAAATAGATGCGCTCGTTTGCTGGAAAACATCATAATCCATGATTTTTTTTTAGCTAGGTTTGTAAAAACGTAAGCCCTTACTTTTTATTATTTGTGTAGAAAAATACCGAAAAAAACTTTATTTTTTTTTTAATACATTAATTTCTGTCTAAAGAAGGAGAACTTTTGTATTTCTCTTTTTCATTTTGCTTAGCAACAATGTATAAATAAATAACAATCACTTTTTGACCAAAGTAAGCTCGCAGTGGCCGATGCGGTGTAGTGGTTAGCAGTTCGCGCTACCATTCCGCAGGGTCGGGTCCTGGTTAAAGCAATATCGCAATGAAATATAGAAAAAAGGTTTTTTTTACAGCGGTCGCCCCTCGGCAGGCAGTGGCCTCCGAATTGTTTCCGCCATGAAAAACAGCTTCTCATAAAAATACAATCGCCGTTCGGAGTCGGCGTAAAACTCGTAGGTCCCTCCGCTTTGTGTGACAACATCAAGGCGCACGCCACAAATCGGAGGAGAAGCTCGGCCAAACACTAACATATGTGTAAACGCCAATCTATTATTATTTTTATTATGCAAGCAAATTAAAGCCTGACTGCTGCATTGGCGTTTGGATGAGCTTTTTGCATTGCGCAAGTTACTTTTTTATTAAATATTTTGTTTTTCATGGTCAAAACCTGGCAAAACTCAATCTCGTATTTTTTAATATTTTTAATAAAATTTTTGAATTTTTTCTTTTTCGACCAAGAAGCAGCATTTAGTGCACTAAATAAACTTTAATGCGTTTTTCGATTCTTACGACCATGGGAATGGATTTCTTGATGCTAAACGAGCAAAAATATGTGTGGGTTTTTGGACAGAAATTGAGTTCTCAGAAGAGGTGAAGTATCTAGAGGTAACTCTGGACAAAAGGCTCAATTAGAACTCACGTCTCTTGAATATTATCAACAGGACTACAAGAGCTAGCAATACCGCTTAATTTACGTGGTCGTCACAGGAGCTATGCGCACCTGTCCAACGGATGCCCTTGGTGTGATTACAGGCATTCCTCCTCTATTTATTTTGATTGAAAATGAGGCCTGTTGAAGCGCCCTACGGCTGCCCAATGTAACCAGCATGCACACTGGGGAGCTTTGGGGTTACTTAGAGGTTCTCAAGCCATTTCTGGATTATTCCGATATCAAGTTCACATATATCATGCTACCGAAATTATTATTTGACAAGCCCCTACAAGGTCATAATTTCCAAGTTTGATATACCGATGGATAGGAGAAGGCCAACGGGAGCATTAGGGCAGGCATGCTTGGACCAAGATTCCAGAAAAGTCTGCCAATGGGCTCATAGCCAACCATATTCCAGCGGAGAAGGTCAAACGGTACCAGAATAAATATTATGTTCGATAGTCAGGCATCACTAAAGGCTCTAGACGTATTTAGAATGACATCAAGAGAGGTGGACAGGTGTAAAACTCTTCTAAACAGCCTAAAAGCCTTATGGGCTAAGAGTTACGCCGAGATTGGTCCCTGAGCATGAAGGGTTTGAAGGCAACGAAAGGGATGACTATCTCGCAAAACGTGGAGCCCAAATTCGCATGCAGGAATATAGTCAGATGAACGCATGCCCGAGGAATGGAATTTATGTAAGAGTGCTCCGGCCAATCCAAAAGAAAGACGGCCCCGCCATTCGCGCCAACTACTGCGGGATCAGCCTTCTAAGCATAGGCTACAAGGATTTATCGATTGTATTGTGGGAAAGGATGAAGCCCACCGTCAACGAACTGATTGGGCCTTATCAGTGTGGCTTTAAAACTGGCAACGCCGCTTTCGATAGCACTAAAAAGAAAGTTGCCTATACGCCACGATGACTGAATTTGGCATCCCCGCGAAACTGACATGGCTGTGTAAAATTACGTGGTGGGATATCACCCACTACGTCAGAATTGGGAAAGACCCCTCGGGGCCTTTTGCTAACAAACGGGGTTTACAGACAAAATGACTCCCGTTCATGTGATTTCTTTAATCTGATGTTGGAGAAGAGTGGATATGGGGTCATGCAAATGACGTTATAACGTAAAATATGCTCTATTCCATGAGGTGTTTTTCATGCGATTTATATGGCCAACTGGATGGCAAGTGTGCTATCCCAACATCTGTTTAAAACATAACTACATAATATGCCATTTAAAACAAATCTACTAACTAAAATCTGCTATTGAATTAAATTTCACAATTCAATTTAAGCACTCCAATGTCGATACTATTTTATTAAAATTTTATCAAAAGGTTTTTTTTGCACCCCATACGACACTTTATTTGTATAAATATTTATTTACTCTAAATACAGCAACCACATCCGCATTTTTTGCATTATTCTCTTCACGACCAAGGCCTTTAAATATTTATTTTCACTCACTTGTGCCACTGATAAACAAATTCATTGCTTTTTTTTTTGTACACAAATTTCCCACGCATGCGATTAATTTTGATTTATGTATATGTCGACTAAATGTACACCACTTACTTTGTGCGCTTTTTGCCTGTCATCTCTACCACATTTTAATTCTTTGCAGTTTATATTTATTTATTTTATAACACTTTTACTTTTTATTGTATTTATTTTTTATTAGTCTTATCACGTTGCAGATGCCGCAATAGTGCGGCTGTGGTCACACTGACCTATTAACAAGGACATTCTGGCATATATGTATGCATGTAGCTCATTCATGCGCGCTATGGAGTTGAAAGTGTTGTACAATATACTGTGTTTGTAGAGCAGGAAGAGCACACAAACATATGTATGCATGTGTGTAGAACAAAATAGTGCGCCATGGCGTATACGCGTTTGTTCTTTAATACATCACCACATATTTCACTAGCTGCACTTTTTGCTTCTTTGTTCGTTTTTGGCTGTGTATGTGTATTCGTATATGCGTACACATGTACATACATCCTTGGTGGGTCACCTGCTCGGTTGTTGGTTGGGTAATAACTTTCACTTTCAGCCCATAATTCATTGAGATGGGTTGACGTGCATGTATGCGCCAGCCGTAGTACACGCAAGCAAGCAGGGACGCACTACGACCGCATACAAAGAAGTATATGTACGTATGTATGTATGTACATGCTGGAAGAGCAGCAGGTGAATGTGCGCTAGCAACAACAACAGAAACAACAACAAATATAGCTTTAGCTACGCTCAGTTGGCGTGCTCTACTTACTTTTTCCGGTGAAGACTGATGCAACTAAAAGCGGTTTATGTCACTCTAGACGACTCCGCTGCTGCTGTAACTGCTGTTGCTGTTGCTAGTTTTGCCACTGAACATGTACCCCCATATCTGACTCTGCTGTTGGCCACAATACATGTGGCACTTAAATTTATAGTCCACGTTTTATGTATCCGCTTCCGTAGCATAGCCGGTATTGCTCAGCGACGCTTGCCTACTGGTACATTCACATTCGTTAAAAATGTGGAATTGCGTTTGCTACCTTTATCTACACTGCACCGCCATCGTTCTCTTTCACTCTTCCAGCCGGTCTGCCTTTCTTTTTTT